GTGGGGGGTAGGGAGATGGGGGCAGCAGTGAAACTGCAAGATAGTGAAAAAGAAAGCGTTCTTTGTGAACTGTTACCTAATGTTTACACTCTAAATACACCTGAGTTAATGTGGTCAAAAACTAGTTTTGGTATCAGTGTTGTACAGGTATTATAGTCAGGACCGGGAAAGAAGCCCGAGCAATACAAACCTTCACCTTCCTGGCACTAGCCTTCCGGTGGGAGGAAAGCTGGAAAGTGAAAAAGGAAACCAAGAATTCAGATGATCTCGGTCAGTGATGCGTGAGAGGGTGACTGGGGCGGGGCTTCAGAAGAGCAGGCCCAGTGGCGGCCTCTCTGAGGAGGTGACTTGAACGAAGGATGCGAAAGAGTCCACTTTAAAGTATCCGGGGGAAAACCGACTCAGGCTGACAGAAGGCAGCTTATACAAAGGTACGGGTGTCTGATGCTGGAGCAGAGTGAGAGAAGAGGCAGGCCAGATATGGAACGTGTCTTATTATTGCCAGTTGCCAGATTGTAATGAAGAGAGAGACATGAGAGACTGGAAGATAACTCTCAAGGGTCCTTAGTCGTCATCGGGTTGGGCATGCCCACATGGTCTCCGGGTTTCAGGGCCTCAGGGCCAGCGTAGTCCTCCTCTTTTGTTTTCAGGGCCCCTCCTCGTGCATAAGCGGGGTGTGTGCCCCACCAGGGCCCTTCGGCCCAGAGAACCGCTTCATCACTGCCTGTGATCTAGGATCTGGAGAGCCCTTGGTGTTGTTTGCTTTCCTATAGATGTGTGTTTTGTAGATAAGCCTGCATTAAATCACATTGGCGTTTGATGCTTTTTATTATTGATTTGGACATGGAATGTTGTTGCAGAGATTAATTTCATAATATTTCTTATTGTCAAATTTGTAAATGTAAGAGTTGTTGGAAAACTTGTGAACATATATAATCTATACCATGCTTTTATGCAAGTAACACATTTGCTATACAGCTTTTGCAATCCATTCAATCACTTTGCATGTTCGTTTCCTAGACGTTATACACATTATATCCAAAACTACAGGGGTGTACACACACACACACACACACACATATACAAGCATGAGGGGGACTTCATAAAGTTTGTGGAAGAATGGAAAGAAAGACTTTTCACAAACGTTTTGAGGACCCCTTGTATAACCAGGAGCCTTGGTGGCACAGTGGGCTACTAACTGAAGGGCCATTGGTTCATACCCACCAGCCTC